GCATCATGCAAAGACTTAGATATGAAAAATAATCCTAAACCAGTGACAAAAAAGGGGGATATTTTGCCCTTTAAAATGATTTCCAGGGACACATTTTCTAACCTTAGTAAAGAAGATGTGTCATCTTTCATGCAAATTAATAAATGTATTCAATCAATGCAATTAGAGAATAATAAGACACTATAGGGCTGATACCAATCAAATGAAATCAATGTCACCAAAATCCATCTTTGCATTGCAGAAGTTGCACAGAAGCTGCATCTGAAGTGGCTTTTTATGCATTTTATGTATCTATGCAGCTCAGAGATGTAATGAATGCATTTACATTGCAGTTACAATTAAATAAATAATGTTAGGAGAGTACTGTGTTAAATATAAAATATGCTGAATATAGAACTATGAAATGATGCTTTAAATATGAAAGTAAAACCGCCAGTAGGTGGCGACAAGTCACTGTCTTAAGTTACCACTCATTCAATTCGATTCATTCAATCGGCTGATTCACTCAGGAATGAAGCAAAGTGACTTGCTGATTTCAGAACCGGATACTACAATATTACTCTTACTATTTATGCCATAAAAAAGATATGTTAAAAATAGTAAGAGTAGTATACTAGTCTGCAGTTTTGAATTTAGGCTTATTGAATCATTGATTCACTCACGTATTTATTCAGTTCATTTATTTATTTGTTTGCTTATTTATTTATTGTATTTATTCAATATATAAATTTAATTTATTCATATTTATTTGTTTGTTTATTCATTCAATATTCACTGTATTCAACGTATTCATTTCATTTATTTGTTTTGTATTTATTTAGTCACTGTATTTATTTATTCAAAATATAAATTACATGTATTCATTATTTAATGCATTCATTCATTTATTCGTGTATTTACTCTCTGTATTCTCTCTTTCTCAATTTGTTCAAAAACAATGATTCAGGAATGAAACATCACTGTGTTGAACGGCGACGCAACGATTGACAAAATAGAGCAAAACAGGCCAAATTGACAATATTGTGTATAAAATGTATGTCACTTAATCTTAACTTAAACATAATATTAACATTTTTATTTATTTGTTATATACTACTGTCTTAAGAATAATATATTTACCTAAAAATGAGGATAAATGAGCGTTGGGCTCAAGCCTGTGCCGGCAGACCGAGTATTTCAAAAACCGGACTAATGGCCACGCTACATTCAATACAAAAAGCACAAATAAAGGCAGTTCAGTTGAATTAAAATGCACTATTTGTGTGCTTTTGTTAATTAGAGCATCATCTCATTAGCTTAGTAACATGTTAAGGATTCATAGATGAACCAAACAATGAAAGAGAGGTTTTATGGTCAGGTGGCTCATGTGCTCAGTGATGCTGCGCACAGACAGGAGCGTTTCATAGCGTCATTAATATTTCAGCACACTCAGACGCGAGTCATTTGCATGTAAGAGTCTCTGTGGACGGACTGTGTGGAAAGTCTCAAAGCTTTCTACATGCTGTCAGCTCTGCTTTAGCACAACACTCGTGGAGAGAAACACGGTCTCCTCGACTCTCACTGCTTCTGTGTTTAGACTTGTTCTCATGGCACTGAATAAATGATTCAGTCCAAAATAAGATTTACTGGGTATTAAAGACATGCTCCAGGATTAATACAAAGTAAACTCAACTGACAGCTGCTGATCACCACAGAAAATGATTTTAACTAGCCCTCAGTTTAGACTTTGTGGTTACGTTTAGGCCCCACTACTAAAATTATCATATAGATAACATTACAGCTCAGATAATACATTTATGCATGGGGAAAATAAATAAATAAACAAATAAAAGATCAAATAAAAAGCCAAAGTGCATTAATAAAAACCAGGGTTGTACACCATTTACAATAAACTAATTTCCTAAATTCTATATACGAGCAATATCACATGAGTAGCAGTGCGATATGGCTGTAGAAAGCATTAGTTTGAATGTCCGCGGAGGAAAGCGATATCTTTGTCATACTATCTTTCATCTGTTAAGGGTGATTTCTGATGACAGCGCTGCTCCGTGTGTTTGTTAACTGTGTCTTGCAAGCTGTTGCTAAAAGTAAAAATAACTTTCTGATTTACAACCCTGTTTCAGTCACTTTCAATATAAAAGTCTTTACTGCGGACTCACTCAGAAAAACAGTTGCCATCTAATGGCGGAATAATGAAATTAAAATCACCATCACGAACACACACACTGTTTCCTAATACTATTATTAAATACTACTATTTATATAAAACATTATTTATTGAATAATCATATTTAATAAACAACAACAACAGCCATCATAAAGGTTGCTAGGTGATTCAGTCAAAAGCACAAAGGCAGCGCTCTGATAAACAGCATTGAAGTTATATACAATATAATGTTATGAGACTTTGCCCTCAGCCAAAACTATTTGCTCTGGAACAAAAAATAGATTAATGAGACCAAAGACTGCCCGTGAGATTTACCCCAAATTAATTATATCTCATGTTTAACCACTACAGAGACATCAGAGCCAGCGGTGATTTCCAGAAGATCTGTCTGAGGTGAGGCTGCTCTCGGCGGGTTCATGAGCGCTGAACAGCCGCTGACGCCCTGGTGCTCATTTTCAAATAGACGTTATATTTCAGTATATATTCAGACGTTGAAATTCAGTAAATTCAAATTCACATTAATGAGCAGAAATGGAGGCAATTTAAATTACATTACATTAAGGCAATTTACAGCTCAAATCACACACACGCGTGTGCATAAATACACAATGAGCTTGAGTAGACTGAGTTCCTGAACGTCACAAATCACAGGATCTGCTCTAAAACACACAAACCTGCTGATCCCTCAGCGGACGTCTCCCCTGCACTCACTGCACTAGACCTTCACATCAGTGCGTCCTGAACTCTCCGTGAGTCCCGTCTGAGCTGATGAGAGGCGACCGCTCTAAAGGTGAGGGAGTCACGTCATGCTCACATTGGCTTTGTGAAATGTCAGCCGGAGCAGTGCAGTCAGAGGAGCTTCACATGAGCATCAGCCCACATTAACTCCAGCCGCGGCGGGGAAAAGGTTAGCATGAAGGACTGACAGAGACCGCACACGTGTGAAGGGGTCAGAGGTCACGTGAGAGAAATCACACGTCAGCAGGAGCGACTGACCTCACAAACCTGAGAAAGACGCTTGAGACCTGACTCTGCGAAGAGCGGCTTTATTATTATTATTGACCTTCATGCTGCTTTCACTGACAGGAAGTGATGCAGGGAATAAAAGATAATCATAAAATAAATGTTTTCTTCTTTTTCAGCTAACTACCAAAAAACATTTCTCATTTTCATTTAACTAAAACTGAAATTAAAATGAATAAAAACTACATAGACATGTTTAAAAAACAGTAGGAGTAAAGTCTGATGACAAACTTAAGCTTGAATTTTAGTAACATTTTAACACATTGTTAACATGTTTTAGCATGTTTTAACACATTGTTAGCATGTTAGCATATTTTAACACATTGTTAACATGTTTTAACATATTGTTAGCATGTTTTAGCATGTTTTAACACATTGTTAGCATGTTTTAGCATGTTTTAACACATTGTTAGCATTTTTTAGCATGTTTTAACACATTGTTAACATGTTTTAGCATGTTTAACACATTGTTAGCATGTATTAGCATGTTTTAACACATTGTTAGCATGTTTTAACATGTTTTAACACATTGTTAGCATTTTTTAGCATGTTTTAACACATTGCTAAACTGATGTTTTGCCAAAAGCCCCTGATCTTTTTGAAGATATACCATTCACTTCACAAATAAAATATTTATAAAAATGTTAATTTGTTCTCCAAGTACTAAATCCATCTGTCTGTGAGGAAAAGCAGTGTGCGCTGCTGGCTGTGTCTTCTGTATCGTAATGTCTGTGTTGCAAACATTCAAATCACAGAAGCACTGGGATAAAAGTTTATAGTTCAGATTAAAAGACCGTTGTCTACCGTAGCGATCAAATAGATTAAATCACCTTTTCATGGTGACTTGACGGTCCAAATAAAGATCGTATCAATTACAACGTAACGCCAGCAGGTGGCGACAAGTGACTTAAAAAAGAGATTCGTTAAAAAACAGAGCTAAGCCCCTTATTTCTCTAAACCCTAGCAACGCCCCTGTTGATCACATATTTCTAACAAGATTTAACACATTGCTAGCATGTTTTAACCAAATGCTAGCATGTTTTCACATGTTGCTAACATGTTTCTAGTATTTAACACTTTGCTAGCATGCTTCTAGTATGTTTTAGCACATTGCTAAAGTTATCATTGCTGCTAACACATCTCCAACATACTTTAACACATTGATAACTTATTTCTAACATGATTTAACACATTGCTTGCACGTTTAAACAAGATGTTAACATGTTTTAGCACTTTGCTAACATGTTTCTAGTATGTTTTAGCACACTGCTAAGAAGAGTTATCATGTTGCAAAACATTGTCAGCATGTTTTAACAGGTCTCTAACGTTTTAGCAAATTGCTAACATGTTTTAGCATGTTTATAACTAGATTTAACTCATTGCTAACACCTTTTAACGTGCTGCTAGAATGATGTAGCAATCAAAACTTGTTTTTTTATTATTTATTTCAGCTAGTGCACAAAGAAACATTTCTCATTTTCAATTAGTTTAACTTGATACACTACCTAAAACTAAAACTGAAATAAAAATGAATAAAAACTATACAGACTACATAGTCTAGACTTTGCAGTGATCCTAAAATAACACTGATATTTACCCATGTAAACAAATACACATGTACGTAACTACACAAAAGCCAATTGTGCATGAGGTTTTCACTTTTCTTTGGTGAAATATTACTTTGAAACATATGTATAATTGCGTAAACTAACTGAATGGGTGTGTGTGTGTATAAGAGCTCACTGTTAGTGACTGTAGTGTGTGTGTGTGTGTGTGTGTGTGTGTGTGTGTGAGACGGTGAGCTTCTTACTTGAGCGAGAGCGAGAAGTCGTTCTTACTAGTCTCACTGTTTCTCACCAGGTAACTGGCCTCTTTACACAAGCGCAGCAGAGCCTCGGCATCCGTTCGGCTGATGGCTCCGTGATACCAGCTGTGAAGCAGACAGAACGAGACGCGAGTGAAGAAGAGCGCCAGAGCCGTTATGAAGCGTCTGCCGTGTGTTTGACTCACAACTGGCTCTCCAGAGGCATGGACGGGTCGATGCGCTCGCCCACGCTCGGCCCGCTGGGCTCCACAGAGCTCATCTTAGTGCTGACCAGACAGCCGCTTGAGTGCCGCTGCAGAGGACGACACTTCAGGTCCTTAGTGGGAGACATGTGGGACTTCTCCACGCCGTCAAACTGCACTGTAACAGGAGAAGCACAGCACATGTTAGAAGTACACCACTGATGACATGTCTCACACGTAGCTTTGATTTCCGTCTCTTTTCTCATATAATAAAATGATTTGAGCTTGAAACAACATTTAATGTCCATTATTTAGTAGCCATTTTTTAAAGCTGAATATTGTCTAGTTATTACAAAATATTATAAAAATAAATGAAGTTATTCTAATAATTTTTAAATATTTTTCTTAAACATTTTTTTAAATAATTATGTTATTCTAAATATTTTAAATCATTATATTAAATCAAATTGTATATTGTATTAATTGTGTAAATATACATTATCAAATTCACTTTAAAATAAAGTTTAACCCCCCAAAAAATTATAAATAAAAATGTTTTTGTTTTTGTAACTATTTCTGTAATTGCAACGATTACAGTGGGTGTAGAAGAGAATCAGCCTCCTTTAAAATGATCACATTTTGTTGCTTTGCAGCCTGAAATGAAGACAGTTTTTGTTTTATCCAGCTGTATTACTCAGTGCAACTTTTAACATCCAAGTGAAAGATAAAACACCAACATGACAGAAAAAAAATAAAAATAAATCGCTGAGATGGAGTTGCAATAACTGTATAATTATACTGAAACATGACACCTTAAAACGTAACCCGTTTTTTCATTTTTTTTATATTTTTATTTAATTTTGCATTTCTAACCATTTCTGTAATTGTAATAATCCGGTTGGAGGTCGTCCTTGTGTTAATAAAAAATGATAATAAAAAAGGAACATGTTCAAATGAAATCCGCAAGTGACCTGTAATTCCTCGAGCATGTCACTGCTCTCCAGAAATAGTTTCTGAAGAAAATTCCCAGCATGACCTTGTACGACTAGCAGTCCATACAGTGAGCTTTGTGTTTTATTGAGCAGAAACTCCCTGCAGGCCGTAACTCAAGCCAATGAAGTCTATGTGAGCGCCGGAGGGATTGAAGCTCATCCTGCATGTAACGAGAGGAGCTGCGGACGAGCGAGACACTTCATAAAACAACTGGATGAGGAACGATCAGGGCTCAGGCAGGGAGCTGCTCACCGGTGATCGAAAATGCACACAGACCCAATACACAGAAAGAAGAATTGTAAAGCGCTGCTGTTTCACATCACCGTACAAACACTGCAGCTTCAGCTGGACCGTAAAGTCATTTAATTATTCATTCTTTTTTTTTTTATGCAATATTTGGGCATTTTGACATGTCAGTCAATAACCACGTCTGACTTATCCATAGATAATCTACATGAGATTTAAATACTGAGTAGTGAAATATAAATATAAAAATTACTATACAGTAGGCCTATATATATATATATATAAAGAGAGAGAGAGAGATAGAGAGATACCTATATAAAATTATTAAAAATAAAAATATATTATAAATAAATGAAAACTATCATTTAAATTGCTTTGTCAATTTATTACATTTTTCAAAAATGTAAAATTCAAATATTCAAAAATATTGGGGTCCTGATCAAGAGTCTATTTTGTGAGAATAACCAGCCGACTGTACATTATCCCTTACTTATGTTAACTTTACTGTGAAATTGAGTAGTGAATTATTGTAACTATATTATATGATAATAAATATATAATATAATACAATTAATAAATAATAAAACAATCAATTAAATCAAATTCATATGAATTAAATAGTAATATTAAAATTAATAACGTTAGCATAAATCTATTAATACAAATTAATTAATAATAACAATTAATAAAAAGTAATATATTATGAAATACTAAATATTATATAGCCGCTGAAAAGAAAGAAAGAAAGACTAGCAAGCAAAAAAGAGCAAGTATTGTGTTTAAATGGCATTTTAGAATATGGAAACCTTACATCAGCAGATCGACGAGATCAGCATAATCAATCACTGATGCCTTATCTGTGTCTATAAACACGTTTTGATTTACAAAAGAAGAAAGTAAGTCGGGCCCAGACTATTAGTCCCACGAGATACAGAGGTCACAGAGGTCACGGGGGTCACGGCGGTCACAGAGGTCACAGGATGTAGTTGTAGTGAGAGAGCTCATGTTTCTGATGGATGACTCTGCAGCCTCGAGCATCAGTAACAGACGAGCGTCAGATTTACGCACACACACACACACACACACGCATACACACACAC